AAACAAAAATTTACAAATATTTTCTGTCTTTTAGACAAAGTGGTGTTGAATGAGCATACTTTCGTCCCAATATGAGGTAAGTTGCTTATATTAGTAATGTGAAATAAATTTCTCCTCTTTGTACGTAATAGGATACATTTACTGTTATATTCGAGTGTTCTGTGTGCTTACTGCATTTAAAATAATTGTTAATAATGTAAGATTGCAGATTAGTAATAGCAATGTTCTCAGAAATGTTCTAATAATTAATTAGCCTATTTCACTTTTAGTCATACAATGGATTATTGTATTACTCCAACAAGTGGCATATCATGCAACACAGCATTCTGAAATATATGCAATTATACAGTGAAAAACTGTAATTCTTAATTTTAACGTTATTTGTTGTTCACTTAACAACTTTAATGAAATCTGTTTATTAGTGGTATATATTAGTCGTGATAATATTTCTGCTAAAATCGCTATATATGTAAAATTATAATGTATAATGTTTTTAATTTAGATTGTTTAATGTCAATTTTACTTTTCTAGAAGTTGAGAGCGAGATTTCTTGTGCATCTATGACAATTTGCAAAGAAGGTCTTCAGCTGTCATCATAAAGGAAAAATCCATTTACAAAACATGAGATTCTGTTAAGCGAGAGTTCATTTTGATTGTCTCCGCTTTTAGAATCTTGTGAAATGTTATGGAATCATCATCATTGCTGTAACTAATTTAGTTTGTTTATTGAAAATTCAATGTATTTCTAGTCTTAGCATATGTTTGCAGAATGCATAAATCATGTACTGTATATTTCTAGATAGAAAATGTGTATGTGTGCATAAACTTCAAAATAGTTTTTATAATGAGTTATCCACAGAATACAAAGTAATTAACCATATCGCGATACTTAAATAATGTTGTGTCATGCCTGTTATCAGCGTATTTTCACAAATACATAAATGTGTAAAATATTGATAAAATTAAACTTTCAATTTTGTAATATGTATATAATTCTTATAATATTGCTTTTCGAAAGCAATACATTAAAACATACATTTCACTTTCATTCGTATACGAGTATAGGTACCTATGCTTTAACGTATCGCTTTCAAAAAGCAATATTATGATAGCGTACCGTTGTTATGACAAATTTCCTAACCTATTATCGCGTAATGTCATCGCATAGAAATAATTAATTTATTATTATTTTACAGTCATACTTAACTGTAAATTCTCCAAATCTTTTCCGGACGAAGTGTTATTGCAATGACACCTCGCAACGAACACAAAGTAATGTAAGCAGAAAAAAAGAACATATCAGACACAATTAAATTTATTGTAACTATCATCTGGAACCAATTCTTCTTGGAGCATTAATTACATACATGACCATTTCAGTAAGTATCGTTTATTTAAATATATTTCTTAACAAGACAAAAATGCAGTTTAGTGACATTCTTAGCGATACTCCAATACTGCAATATATATTTCTTATTTTCAGTGACACATTAATTTCCATAACTTTGGCATAAATAGCGTATCATGGTATTTTTGCAAAATCTCCGTCAGTGCTGTGAAAGAGGTCTTTTACAATGCAAATTGTGTTTCTGCATTTTTAAGGCAATTTGCTGCTTAATACTTTGTGATACGGTTTGCATACTCATCTCATGAGACCTGACTTAAGTTTTATTGTATATATAAACTCTAATATTTTGTGTTATTTATTAAAATTATTCAACATCTGTTTCAGATATAACAGAACTTATGAGAGCGATATATTCTATGCATATGTAATAATTTGGAGAGCAGACCTGTTATCAAGCATAAAAAAAGAATTCATTAACAAAACACGAGATTCTTTTAAGCGAGAG